TCTGAGGAGGGGAGAGACAACAACACATAATATGGCTGTAAAAAGCTATAGTTGTGGGTGACTGCTTAAAAGAAAGGAAAGGGCCCATTTTGTTTATTGCAAAGCATGGGATTGTGATCAAGAGATCAATACAGTGCATAAAACTGACACAGAAAAGCATATACCACTGTAAAGGTAATAAAAGTTTTACTCAATGATCAAATGACTACCCTTGTTGACTATGAGTTCAGTAAGTGAACATTCTGTATTTGAGAAAAAGGTGAAATCAGGCTAGTTGCATTTGTGGCAGAACACTGTTTACTAAGAAATAGGATGAAGCATCATTAATTGTTCTGAACATTTGCAAAGTCTCTGCTGCTGTAAAAATGAACAAAAAATGCACATAAAAGAGCAAAAACAGCAAATTTGAAACAAGATCCTGGCATAGCTAGCAGAAACCTAGTCTAAAAATGATTGTGTCTGAAAGATTACTGCAACATGGCCAGCCTGCCCAGGACAGGAGGTAAGATACACTAAGACTGCTTAGTTTTTACCACCTTACACTTCTATTGAAATCTGAGCCTTTTGTTCTGGATTCCTTAGTCTTCCCTAGTGGAGATGATCCTCTTGATCCAACAGAGAAATCTAGAAGTTTAGGTAGCTGCGACTACTCATTTGAATGCCTATGAAAAACAAGAAGATTTCATGAACTCCCATCTTTGCTGATCTTTCTAACTGCAGTTTTAGTTGATATTAAAAATTCAGATATTTTCCCTTAGTCAATGCACTTTTTGGAAAAAAAAACATTATCTGACCAACACAGACAAAACCTATTATTATAATAGCAACATTGCACAAGGCAGAGTCCTGCCTGACATATCAGTTATGCTAGAACTTAACACATGGTTTACTGTTGAGTTATCCATTGGGTTCACAGCCTATGACAGCCTGTTTATTAAAAAGCAGAAGCAAGAAGCATAAGTCAGGCATTGTGCTGGTGCACTTCCTCATGTGTGCGCAGAGAAAACCATGGGTCATCCATGCAAACTAGCCCCACATGCTGTTTTTGGTTTGCTTTCCTAGAACCTGAAAGATTTGCAATGCAATCCTATGCACATCCACTCAAAAGCAAGCACCACTTGAGTTCAGCAAGATATACACTCATGAAAGTACAATTAAAATTAACCAAAAGGCAAACAGTTCAACCAAGGAGGTTACTGGCTAGCAAGGTTTATAAGAGGCGGTGCTTATTTGTGATATAACCATACAAGAAAAGAATATACAAATAAAAGATATGAACCACGGCAGCCTTAACATGAGGCGAATTGCTGTCTACCTATCTGGGGACTATTTCAGACAGCAAAGCTTCAGGCAGATAGATATGATATGATATGATATGATATGATATGATATGAAAGGCACAACCATTAGATACAGTCACAGTCATTCACACCTGAATAACCTCTTGGTTACAGTAACATGTTCTATGTGGGGCTACCTTGATTAAAGTTCAGAAACGTCAACATCATGCCAAACAATATAGCCTGCTTGTTATCTGGTGGTAGCCAAATGGGCCATCTTACTCCAGTTCTGTATGACACTGACAGCGCATTTATTGCTGGCTGTCATTGTATTTCAATTACCTGTAAAGCCTTAAATGGTTTGGAAGACAAATAAGATCTCCCCCCACACATATCCCTCATATGCTCCATGTACTGTGTTCTGCTGGCTGTGGAACAGGGTCTTTTGGGTTGTGGTGCCTGCTTTATGAAATGTCCTTCCCAGTAGGGGCTTGGCAGGCCTTAGTATCTGCTCCTTTTAGCCCCAGGTTAAGTCCCTTTTGGCATATGCTGTTTTAGTTTAAGTTTGCTAACTGTTCTTTCGATATTTTTATGCTACTGAGTGCTCCTGTTATACAATGTGCATTTTACTTCTATTTTAAATTGTGATGTTTGTTGCTTTATATTCTTACCACTGAATTATTTTGTTGCTGCTGCTGCTGCTATAAGCTGCTTTGTTTCACACTGGAGAACAACAAGATATATGTTTTTTAGAATACATAAATAAATCATAAATGAATGATATGTAGTCAACAACAGAGTAATCCTTTTTGTGAAGTTCCTACAATTTCATCACTCAAATGAAACTTGCAGAAGAGGCCTTGCGTGGTAAATTGATCCACATATTAGAAAATGGAGGTATCATTTGGATTTTGGCCTTGGGCACCAATCTGAGGCCAGCCTGAGCATAAGAAGCAGTGAGCAAAACAAGGCCAAAACTAGGTAATATAGAAACAAACCACATAAACCTAACCAGGATTTCTTCTAATTCTGAAGCTGCCAAAGTGATAAATGGAACCTTTGGTATAGCAGTCAAGACTTCTAATTTTACAGAACATATGCATTGGCCAGGGGATCCAAAGGATAGAGTCACCTGTTCCCTTGCATTTGTAAGGGCCCAAGCACTCCCACACTGCTGCCCTATTTGTACATATTATTTATATTTCATCACACAAAGAGAAGGGAGTGCTAGACCAAAGATGATCAGTACTTCAAAGGGAATAGGCAAGCAAAGTCTGGGACACAAAACTTCTGTCTTGCATAAATAGCATAGAAAACCCCTTTCTTTAAAAGGTCCATATTGTATTGAAAACAGGAAAGGAAAATGCTTCAGTTGTTTTTATTCCTGCATTATGAACTAGCCTAAGAAGATTGCTATTCTTCCTTTGGTTACAGTGAACAGTGAATACAGAAAAGCTACCATTGAAAAACAAACAACAAAGTATCAACAGACGGTTCTTTCAGAATAAAGTCTGTGTTTGTCGATTTCCATACTAACAAACATGTCTGTGACTGAGGTCTATACCCAACAGGTATGTAGAGAATTATGGCATTTTGGGGTCTGTCAAACTTACTCTACATGCTAGGTTGTTTTTTTTTAACCAAGTACATTCACACCTCTTGCTGAGTATTAGATATTTTAGATTTTTGGAAGGAAGCAATAAAATTTCATTTGTGGTTAAGTAACCAGGATCATCAACTATAGGCATGCTTTTACAATTTTTGCATGTCTGCTCTGGGGACAGTGCAAGCAATTGGATCCAGACAGGGTTCGATCCAGACTTGTTCAGTCTTGGAATAGGTCCATCAAAATCAACAGGACTTGAGTTAGGCCTTAAATAACCTTAATGTATGTTCTGTGGATTTAAGTGTTGACGTTAAGTGTGACTAAGTCTGGATCCAACCCTTGATCTGTTACTGCTTAGTGTTTTTTCCACACAAAACCCCAAAGTAGTCCAATTCTTCCCAGTATTGTTCCAAGTCAGATGTCTTGGTCCAGCCCACTTGGCAGCAATGGCCCTTTTTTCTCCATTATCAGAGCCTTTCTCCCCTCTTTTACACTGGATTTGATGTGCCACTGCATCTATATACATTATTTTCACCTATTCACTAAAACATCATCCTTCGCCTTGTTACTTCATGATCTAGAAGTCCAGTCACAGTGGCCTCTTTTTGCCATCAAGGGCGCATTCCATGTTAGGAAATAAACCCCAAATTCCTTTGGAAATAAGGAACATTCATGAATAGGAAGCATATGAGGATCAAATAACCGGACAGGGAGGGACGGCCAAAAACATCTTATGCAGCTGCGAATCTGATGCATGCTATCTATGTTACTTCAGAGTAAATCACAGGGTTATGAGGAGGACGTCCTGATATACTTTTCAGTAAACATGCCTAGCCCAGGGTTGCAAAAATGTAACAAGGCTACTTCTCTAAATCAACACAGAGAAACTGTTGCACTCATGTTGTATTACTACAACAATGCCTTATTCCAAATTCTTTGCAGACATCAAATTCTTTGACTTGGTATGCTGGGTAGTAGCAAGAGATGCTGCATAGGGTCAGATACAACAGGTGAGCACCAGACACTTACAGATTAGTAGCCTTTCTTTTTGAAGAAGGCAGCAGAGACACAATTCAAGTCTGCCTAGGCAGCTGAACTTAAAAGACATAAAAAGCTGTCAGTTTCATATTCCTAGGTTGTAAAAGTGACAAATGGGTTATAAATGCATTATCTCTGATGTGTGTGTTATTCAAGTATCCAGTGTGTGTGTGTGTGGGTGTGGGTGTGGGTGTACGCACACATGCACGCAGAGGTTACCTTATTTTTTGGCCTTTGATTAACTCACAAGGCAACTATCTTGTTACAGAAATGGGAAGCAGCAGAATCACACACATATAAAAGGACAAAATCACTTGGAGCACAGAATGCCAAAGCCCTGGAACAAAGCTGTGCAATTCCAAAGCAAATAAACCCGAATTGCAAACCACGCACAGGATCCAATTTGCCTACAGCAAATTGTCTGTACAGTCTCTCCAAAGAAGCTTTAGTAGAAAGTTTTAGGCTTTTGTCTTTCTATAAGACAAAGCCACCTTTGAACCCCAAAGTAGATTCCAAAAACAAGAGGGCCAGCCACCTCAAGAAGTGTCAAAATACCACCAAAGCCACCAGTGACTGGCTACACCCCCCCCCCCCGATTGAATGGGATTTGAATGACTGGATTTTAATTATCTGAATGGTGGGGTGGCGATTATGAAACTCCCGACGATAATAACATACTAAGAACTCCTGCTCTGTTTTCCATAAGCCTAGTGCCAAAAAAGACAGGAGGAGAAATCTCCGTATATACCGAAAGAAATGGTTTTCCCCCAACATTCCTGCCGGGAATCCCTCACCGGTTTGTCTATCTAGAAAAAAAGAGAGATTGTAAGTGAGTGCGTGTGTGCGTGTGTGTGTGTGGAACGGGGAGAGAAAAGCAGTTCTCACGACAGACCTTGGGAAAGTTTCACATTTTTAAAAGCCTGGTACTGTTAAGTAGCGTAATCAAAGTCCACAGCCACATAGTTGAGGGGAGTGAGCCAAAGCTTTGCCCTTAATGGAAACCATCTGCTGTTCAAAGGAGGAAGGACGAGCAATTACATGCATGCACAGGGAACGAGAGAGAGAAATAGACCCACCAGGACAATCAGATCCACGCTCCCCTTCCCGGGCCTCGCTCCAGCCCCGCGCAGTCGGTTCAGACGGACGCCTGTGGGCTCCCAGATCTCAGAACTTCCTTAGTCTATGAAACCGAAGCGGCGGCGGCGGGATCGAGGGAAGCCACCCTCTGAATGAGAGCGACGCGGAGCGCTTCCCAGAGGGGGTTGGTTGCCGCTGGATTTGTTTGCTTGACTGGATCAGCAAATCAGCATTCCCGGGAGGGGTTTCGGGGCTTTCAACAGGTGGAGCCACCCTCCGCCAGAGGAGAGCACCGAAGAGCCGAGGAGCGCAAACTTACCCAAGTTGGAGCGCGGCGCAGGCTGGCTGGCCGGGGCCGCTCGCGGTGCCTTTGTGTGCGCGGCTCCCGGGCTACAGGCTCCGCCGCCGAGCTGCTCCCTCCCAAGCGGCCGCGCCTCAGCCGAGCAGCCCCTGGAAGCAGCGCGCAGCGCCGGCAGCCGCCACCGCGGCCAGGGGGCTCGCCATGCTCCGCTCGCGCCCGCCGCTCCACGCCAGGCAGCCTCCGCCCGTCGGGGCGAGCGAGGCGGCGGCTTCCAGAGGAGAGGCGAGGCGGCCGGAGAAGCGGGGAGTGGGGGCGAGAGCGAGGAAAGGCACGCCGCCGCCGCCGCCGCCACGGAGAGCAATGGGGCTCATCACATGATGCGCCGGAGCGCCCGCCTCTCCTCGCGCTCGCCGCCTGCCAGCCCTGCCCCGGGAAGGGAAGAAGGCAGCGCGGAGCAGACACACCTGTAGGCGCTGCTGCACATATCCGTCGCCAGCACAAAGCCAGACAGGAAACTGAGCGGGAGAGGAGGAGGGAGGAAAATGATAAATGCACGCCGAGCAGTCCGCTCGGGGAGAGGGAAGCCTCTCGGCCCGCCCCCGGCCCCCTCCTGCTCGAGCCCCGGAGGAAAGGGGGGCTGGTTCTCTGGTGGGCGGGAGACAGGGAAAAGGAGGGAAGCCCTCCGCTTTCGGGGTCTCTTTCCCTCTCTCTCCTTCCCTTCTCGCCGTTGTTTATCTGCCAGCCACTCAGGCTTCCCGGGGCCATGCGGGGGTTTGGCTTGCTGACGTGACGGGGAGGCAGGATTGGTGAGGCGCTCTGGTGGGCAAGATGGCTGGGCTGGCGGGCAGGAGGGGCTCCGCTCCGACCTGCAGCCTGCTTTAGGCGCCTCGATGGGATCGGGGTCACACCCCCTCCCACCATGCTCTAAGCGAGATATTTTCCCGTTCCCCAGCATGCTGGCCGGTTGGAAAAGTGCCATTAAGCATGTGCAGAGTACCTTTTGCTCCCATGAGTGATGCTTCCTCTTTAATGATGTTTAGATTGGAATATAAACTTGGAATCCTCCCCTAAAGATTTCGGGGCAGGCAGAATATGTGAGGCCATCCTGTCTGGCTCTTTTCTTAACAGTGCTGTGAGTTTGATGGAGAAATTCATGTGCCACTGAAGAAGGACTTGAATCCCAGTATCCACAGTCCAATATGCACAGAAGGTTCCCCTCACTGACCAGTGTCTAGTGGGAGAATCCACCCACCTATGAACAATCCCTTTTGTGTGGGTATACTTTAATCGCCATCACTAGTTTGGGTCACTATTACAGGTTTGCACAGATCCTTTACTGGAAGTGGATCCTACCACGTTTAGTGCGGCACAAAGAAAAAACATGGTAAGCCTTGTATCCCTTAGTCTCCTCCAGTGAAGCAAGGTATGCCACTGTAATGCTCAGTGTTCTTCTGAACTTAAAACACTGGGACTGGTTATTCAAATACGGGTCTAATATTTTCCTTACTATGCCTGAAAATCAGGACTTCATTGGAAGCAAGATCCAGTGAATGAAGTGGCACTTATTTCCAAGTATGCATAATAAGGAATTGCAAGTATTTGTACAGTTAACAGCCTTCCCATTTAATGTCAGTTTATGTTGATACACATTTGGTGGGCACATTACCTATTTTCTCACCTATTTGTGCAGGCCGCAAGGTTCTAATAATACTTAAGACAGCAAATGTAACCTATTTCAAGTGTTCAAAATACTTCCCATATATTCTCTCAGCAATTCTTACAATCACCCTTTATAGTAGAGCAAATCAGTACATTAAAGCAATATTCCCATTTTGGTGGGTGGGTGAATACTTGCTTGTTTAGCAAGTTGGCACCTGATGTGGAGATCGTAGCTCACACTCTTAGACACTACAGTACATCAGGATTAATGCAGTTTGACTTGCCAATTTCCTCTTGTCCCTACAAATCAGTGCTATCCCCACCATATGCTGAAGTGAACCATGATCAGGATAAAGCCAGCACCCTAACGAAGATCAAAACCGCTATAGCTGCAGTGGTATGAAGGACACTGATCTGAAAGGCTAACCAAGCATAGATGCCTAGGCTTGGGGGACTTGTAGGGCACAGCATGCACAAGAAATCCCTCTTCCTGGTAGACACAGGAGGAGAGCATCAACATGACTGTCAGCCCTGCACAAGTAAAAGGACTAGGCAGAACTGTTTTGTAAGTATTGTTGTTTATCTTATTTCTGCCCTGCCCAATGGTTGAAACTCTGTGCAGTTCACAACAGTTTCTGTTAAAGGGGATTAGAGTCTGTGGGGACAGCAGGCTAAAGCAGACTGAGGAAAGTCAGAGTTGGCATAGGGAAACCATGGCAGACTTTTTAATTTCCAGAAAGTAGCCACATAAGATTGCGACAGCAAAAAGAATACGTATATTCTGGCATATGCCTTCATGGATTATAGTCTATCGTATACATGGAGTATTATGGAACGGTTCAGGCTTTCAGGAGCCTTAATAGCAGCACAGCCTAGCCTAGCCTAGCCTAGCCTAGCCTATTTGTCTATCCTGTTATCCATTCTGGCCAGCAGCAGCACATTGGCATTGCTGGCTAAAGTCGATGGGAACTGTAGTCCAACACACACGGAGGAGACCAAATATACACACAGCTGTCTCTAAACCGCTAGAATGGATCCTCCGCCAAGGAGACTCCCCTCGCGCCTTGTCTCTTCTCATGTTTTTCAGGCTCGGCTCTCCCTACCCAAACTTTTCTAACGCCATTCGACTTCTCGCTTCTCCTACGAGCCTCACCCGCGGCCACTCCTTTGCGCAGGGTCCTTCGCCTGGGAGGGCCCCCACTTTTGGGCAGGGGCCGGAGCCAGGCGGGTCCGGGAAGCAAGGGGCGCCGCGCTCCAGCGGGCGCAGGGGCGCCCTGATCCACCCACGCGGTGCCCAGGCGGCGGCGGCGGCGTCTCGGCGGTTCTCGGCAGCGGGCGGGTGACAGCAGAGAGCAGAGGCGGTTCGGGCGGCGGAGGCCTGCGCTCCCTTTCGCTGTGCCTCCGCCCGGCCTCCACTCCTCCAGCCCAGCCCAGCCCGAGAAGCGGCGAGACCCGGCGCCGTTTCCCACGCCCCTCTTGCCCAGCTCTGCTGGGGATCAAGGGCCGCCTCAAGTCCGGAAGACGCATCCCTAGGCGCAGCCTCTGCGCCGCCCTTAGCCTGTGGGAAGAACGGCACATCTCCTTCCTGTCCCTCATGGGCGGGGAAGCGGCCGCGGCAGGGAAAGGGGTGCCGGGCGAATGGGGGAAGCGAGGCGCCCCACTGTCCGGGTCCTGGGAGCGCGCAGCTCTTTTCTTCGCGCACGGACCCGGCTGGGGTTGCGGGAGGTGGCAAGGAGCCGTTTCGCTCCCCGCAGCCCCCGTTGCCGCCCCCTCAGAGACAGCCCGACTGGGAGTCATTCAAAGTAGAATAACCTTTCAGTGTTGCATAATAACCTTTTGTTTCCCCACCCCCACCCCATCATTTATAAGAGCATGATCGAAATGAAAGCGGCTCTCTTTCTTTCTCTCTTTCCAAAGCTAAGAAATTGGAACACCTCGTTGCTGGATCGAAATCGGTGCAGTTTGAAGCGATGCGTCATCAAATAAAAGCCTGGGGAATTAAAACCGCTCGGGGTGAAAGTCTTCGGATCCTCCCTTGATCATCTATCCCAGGAGAGAGAATGTGAAAGGTTACATAGTTACCTTCCTGGCGCACAACACAGTCTCGATCATGCCTACTTAGAAGTAAGGCTCATTGGATGCAGTGGCCCATTTTCTCAAGTAATAAGTCTAAGATTGCAGCCTTCCTTATTTATTTATTTAAAGCTTGTATGCACTGTTCAGTTAGCAAATAGTTCTTGGGATGGTGTTAAGGAATTAAAACAAAATAAAAGCAAATATATGCACATTGTCAACAGGAGGAAATGTATATTTTCTGACTCGCTGGTCAGTTTACAGGACAAAATGTTACGACCATAAACAAAGCAACACAGTTGTTACGTGTTGTCAAGTCATCTGGGACTTATGGCTACCCTTTGATGCCGTGTCCTTGACAGATTCTGCTCTGCTCTTGTAAACTCAAGGCTGTGGCTTCCTTTATGGAATCAATCCATCCCATAATTGACCTTCTACTTCTTCTGTCTTCAGTTTTCCCTCGCATTATTGTCTTTTGTACTGAATCTGTACTGAGTCTTGCCTTCTCAAGGCATGTCTGAAACACGACAGCCTTAGTTTCATTGTTTTTGCTTCCAGGAAAAGTTGTGCTTGGTTTGATCTAGGATGCACTTCTTCATCTTTCAGTCCGGGGCATTTTCAAAGCTCTCCTCAAGCACCATGTTTCAAAAGCTTCAATTTTCTTCCTGTCAGCTTTCTTTACTGTACAACTTTCACACCCATACATAGTGACTTCATAAAAACATAGATTCATCTTATAAAAACATATATTCAAAATGGAATAAAACCAGTGTAAACCAAGATGAAAGCCAGCAGCGTTTTAGCGCATATGAGGATGTTGCCTGATGAAATAAGAGGCCCAAAGCTGGCTCTCAGTTTAAGCACTACATATTTCCTTCCTTTCACGTGTCAGGCTCAAATGTGGCACTTATCCTAGCCTTTTTCACCCTGCAACATGAACATTCTTGACCGAAACATACATGGAACAGTGAGAGGAATAATCCAGCCTGCTATTAGAAACATGCCTTATACAGGGATTGGCTATATAGGGATATTCTATACACTAAAACTAATTTTTACCTAGTCATGTTAAGCAATCAGGACTGAAGCTTTGTAAGTCTTAAATGTAACTCCACAGTGAATGAAACTTTTATTGAAGTGGAAGTCATTCATTTTCATCATCAGGAAGTTCTAAGGTCTAGTTCATAATGATCTTTGAGTGAAATAGTTCTAAGTAATAAAAAGCAGGTGGAACTACAT